ACATGACGTAAGTAATGGTGAACAAATTCTTCACCATAATCTTGTAGAAGTGACAGCAGGAATAGAAAAGAGTGGAAGGGGTCATCCCATACAAGAGACTCTTATTGAGGAATTCAATTTTTTACCTCATGTCTTGGATTTGATAAGAGAACATGGATATACGATGGAAGCGTGGGATGATTTTGTGTTGAATGTTCAGTCAACACAAGAAGAAGTTTAAATCTGAATGTATTAGTTGCCAATTTTCAGGTCCGTTTTTCAAACGTTGCATTTTACATGAGCCGAATGCATTTAAAACAAAAGATAGCAAGGAATTTATCTAATTTTTTTGTGTCTTGAATGCATTTGGCGTGTTTAAAATGCCGCGTTTAAAACTGTCTTAAGTATAGAAAGAACCATTCACTATATTATCGTAAAAGTAACCATTCACTATATAATAGTGTAAAATGTAAGCACTTGAAAACGCATCTTGCTTCAAAAACGGAAACTTTCAAGGACATATTTGTTTACATCTTGTGTAGCTAATTGACAATCAATTAATGTAGCTATTTAATAACTTTCCTTAAATTTTTTTATGTAAAGATATATTTATTTTTCTATTTATGTCATTATTAACTTTGAATGAAATGATAATTTTCGATGTAATCGTTCATCGTTTTCTCTCGAAGTGTTCCTAAGTAGTTGATTTCAAAACAAGCCAAATAATGATGGTAAATTCTGGTTACTGTTAAAAACAGCGAGAAGATATTGTACACTGTCATACACATGCAGAATATTTGAATGGACTATTTAATTTATTTCTATCTTGTTGAGTGTTGCATTTCTCTCTTGTTTAGTTGGACTTATTCAATAGTTTATAACTAGTCGATGATCTTAAATATTGAATATGTTCTTACTTTCAAAGCAAACAATTTTACGAACTTTTGAAATCGAAACCAAAAATCTTGGATTTTTTGAGAGCTTTGGGATTTTCTCTGTATTTTTATTTTAGGAAAAAGATATTTTTGGGTGCAGCAAACGATAATTTTAAATATCAATATTTTGATTAATTTGGTTGCCTAGCATTTCTTTGCTTTGTGTGCTCTATTATTAGATTGACAATCAATGATTCTGTCTATTGTAATTTATCATATAGAATTTTAAACATTTAGCAATGATAATTATTCATTACGCTCGGTCAGAGGACTGTGAACTAGTCAACAAACAATTGAGAATGAACATTATATTTTTGAATTTATAAAAACTGACTTGTAAACTTTTAAAATGAACCAAAAATTAGTTTATTTTCTTTCTCTTTCTCTGTTTATTGCAAATCAAACGTTATCCACTCTGTGGCATTTCGTTGTTCATGTCTTATGACAACAATTTTAGCCGCCATTTTGGGGAATATTTTAGCTATTTGTGTTAAACTTGGAAATGTTAACGTGAAAAAAACTGAACCAAACGAAGAGAAAGTAGAAGCAATACATTCATTCTGTGCTTCATCTCATAAGGTTTGTGTCAAGTATGAATAAGTATGTTCAAATGTTTATTTTCTGTATGTTCTTGTATGTATGTTCAGGAAATTTTGTTTGTAAAATTAAAGTTAAGATTGTACAGAGCACAGCGATTATTTACGAATAAATTGTCTTCTTTTTTAAGATAAATCGTATTTCACCACCAACCTATGTTGTCAAAACGACAATAATGAATCAAGAAGAAGGTTTAAAAGCTTTGGAAACTTCAATCAAAACCATTAAAGAAGTCATTATGAACAAGAAAGGTACATTTGTTCTAAGTATAAAGTACCATCCCTCAAACTTTCTGTTATCAATTTCTGTATCATTTTATTCCATGTGCATATTATGCCCTTAACATCTTGTTATCATCTTTATACCATCTTCGTACTACCACCATGTGAACCTCATACCATACCATATCATCCTCAAACCATCACCACATCATCTTTGTACTACCACCATGTGATCCTCATATCATACCATATCATCCTCAAACCATCACCACATCATCTTTGTACTACCACCATGTGATCCTCATATCATACCATATCATCCTCAAACCATCACCACATCATCTTTGTACTACCACCATGTGATCCTCATATCATACCATATCATCCTCAAACCATCACCACATCATCTTTTTACCACCATGTGATCTATCCATACCATATCATCCTCAAACCATCACCACATCATCTTTGTACTACCACCATGTGATCCCATACCATACCATATCATCCTCAAACCATCACCACATCATCTTTGTACTACCACCTGATATCATACCATATCATCAAACCATCACCACATCATCTTTGTACTACCACCATGTCCTCATACCATACCATATCATCCTCAAACCATCACCACATCATCTTACTACCACCAATCCTCATATCCAATATCATCCTCAAACCATCACCACATCATCTTTGTACCACCACCATGTGAACCTCATATCATACCATATCATCCTCAAACCATCACCACATCATCTTTGTACTACCACCATGTGATCCTCATACCATACCATATCATCTCAAACCATCACCACATCATCTTTGTACCACCACCATGTGAACCTCATATCATACCATATCATCCTCAAACCATCACCACATCATCTTTGTACTACCACCATGTGATCCTCATATCATACCATATCATCCTCAAACCATCACCACATCATCTTTGTACTACCACCATGTGATCCTCATATCATACCATATCATCCTCAAACCATCACCACATCATCTACTACCACCATGTGATCCTCATATCATACCATATCATCCTCACCATCACCACATCATCTTTCACTACCACCATGTGATCCTCATATCATACCATATCATCCTCAAACCATCACCACATCATCTTTGTACTACCATGTGATCTCATACCATATCATCCTCAAACCATCACCACATCATCTTTGTACTACCACCATGTGATCCTCATACCATACCATATCATCCTCAAACCATCACCACATCATCTTTGTACTACCAACATGTGATCCTCATATCATACCATATCATCCTCAAACCATCACCACATCATCTTTGTACTACCACCATGTGATCCTCATACCATACCATATCATCCTCAAACCATCACCACATCATCTTTGTACTACCACCATGTGATCCTCATATCATACAATATCATCCTCAAACCATCACCACATCATCTTTGTACCACCACCATGTGAACCTCATATCATACCATATCATCCTCAAACCATCACCACATCATCTTTGTACTACCACCATGTGATCCTCATACCATACCATATCATCCTCAAACCATCACCACATCATCTTTGTACCACCACCATGTGAACCTCATATCATACCATATCATCCTCAAACCATCACCACATCATCTTTGTACTACCACCATGTGAACCTCATATCATACCATATCATTCTCAAACCATCACCACATCATCTTTGTACTACCACCATGTGATCCTCATATCATACCATATAAACCTCAAACCATTACCACTTCTTCATACTACCACCATGTGATCCTCATATCATACCATATCATCCTAGTACCATCATTATGTATTATCCTCATGCAATCACCATATTATCCACATACCTTCCCATACCATCCTTGAAGCTCATAGTGTGATTTACACATTACAAGTCGATTGTTGATTCAAACCTTCACTTTACCCACAGATTTTTAACCTTGATCATTACTGACCAAGAGCTTAGCAATCTACTTTTGTGTTTATTTTGTCAGTTCTTCTCATTATGTCAGATACATGACAATCAAGATTAGGGGTTGAAATGTACTTGTAAATCCTATTGCCATGCCTTTGCATTCATGCAAGAAATTTGTTGATTTCAAATGATAAATTTAAGCTATAAATTTCTATCATTGATTATCATTTTTATCTGTTCAGCCAAAGGTTGTCACAGATATGGATGAAGCAGACTTTGCAAAGGAACTGGAAAAACTTGAACATCAAAATGCAGAAGTTGATGGTGATGATGATAATCCTGATGATGAAGAAGAACAAGATGAAGCATAAATGATTGTGGTTTGTTTTAAAACTTGCTGTGTTTTATTTTTATCATACACTACCTGCAGTTGTCTTGAACAACAATTAGTTTAACTTCAAACTCCATTCAAACCCTATACATTACAAACATTAATTATTTTCTATAGACGATCCGAAATAGATATTTCATTGTCAATATTTTGCAAGGCAGTTTTTGAAGGTCCCCTGTTCGGGTTAAACTGACGCTATGAATTTGTAGTTTGTGTTGAATAGGACATTCGTCATCGTGAAACTATTGTAAATGCCAAGTCGTTGAAATAAAAGCATATTTAGAAAGATCATTAAATTAAATATTGCTAACAATTTCCTACGGGCGAAAACTTTCCTTGAACTTTTTAATCATAATTGATCCAAGATTCAAAATATCTTATCAAAATTGGTTATGAATTATGACTGTCGATGCTATAGTTTGTCTGTCGCTTTCCATTGTCTGACCCTGAGTTTAAATTTCATGTTAACTTAATCTCGACGTTCACCTTTGACGTTTATCAGAACTTATACAATCAGTGAAGTTTGTTGTAAAATTCTTATACTTCTTTCTAACTTTATATATCATCAAATGAAATCAAGAATATTTGAAATTTCAAACGCCAAAGTGTATCATGACGTTAACTGTATTAAAAAGTACAAAAGCTCAGAAAACGACAAAACTTTATGATTATGTCGACATTACGAATGGAGAAAACAATAACATGAAGGAAAATATGGCTAGTTTTATAAAACAGTGACGTATCGTATCGTATCGCCTATGTATTTCGTTTCGTACGATTCGTTCGACTCCTTGTTTGGATTTTCATTGGTTTGATAATTCCTCGAGATTTTGATTGGTTGGGGGAAAGTTTTGTACTTCCGGCGAAAAGCGACACACGTGAACGACATGAACGTGAACTTGAACGACATTGTCTCAGACCTATTTCAATTTTCAAAGCGTGGAAACGAGACTTTCAACTTGATTTGTTCATTTTTACCTTCGTGGCTAACTTGGATTCAGTAAAAGAGGTTGGTGTGAGAGTTACGATTTACGTTTACTAATTTCAGTGTTGTTTATAACTTTCATGTTTTGCTCCACCATCGTTAAATCATCTCACTAATAATTTAAGTTTATTATTATTGTACATGGTGTATCATACAGAATGTTTGAAAGTTCTTGTTTATTTGTCATTGAGCTAAAGTTGGGTTATAATTTCAGGATAAATTTACAATGCTCAAAGAAACGTTGGCAATCATCATTACAAACATCAATTATTTTCTATTGACGATCCGTGTGGTGCAGTGCGGTGTTTGATATTAAATGAAGATATGATCTTCCCACTTTGCTGGACAATGAAAGGAATGTCATATAAAAGAATTCTTTCATATGACATGAAAGGAATGTCAGAGTTACGATTTACATTTACTAATTTCAGTGTCGTTTATAGCTTTAATGTTTTGCTCCACCATCGTTAAATCATCTCACTAATAATTTAAGTTTATTATTATTATACATGGTGTATCATACAGAATGTTTGAAAGTTCTTCTTTATTTGTCATTGAGCTAAAGTTGGGTTATAATTTCAGCATAAATTTACAATGCTCAAAAAAACGTTGGCAATCGTTTACAAAACATCAATTACATTACAAACATCAATTATTTTCTATTGACGATCCGTGTGGTGCAGTGCGGTGTTTGATATTAAATGAAGATATGATCTTCCCACTTTGCTGGACAATGAAAGGAATGTCATATAAAAGAATTCTTTCTTATGACATGAAAGGAATGTCATGGTTCATGAGACAATAGCTTAAATTGTCCAGCAAAGTGCGAAGATCATATCTTCATTTCACTTTTGGTTCTACAACAGAATACTGGCATAGACAAGTTTATCTGAAGGATTTTTTATTTAATGAATTCTAGAACGTCGTGTATTTCGGTGACGTCGACATAAAAACTTGTGTTTTGTTACTGTTGGCGAAAAAAACGGAATGGTCGGAATGAGGAAGTTGTAAATTTTATTATAGTGTGTTTCATTCAGCCTTCAGACGCGCGACTAAAGCGATTGCCTAGTGTGTTTCAGCCTTAACTGTTCAATCACGTTAGTTTGATTTCCATTTAAGTAAATAAAATAATAATGAACAAAAATTAAATTACATAAACTCTTTTCAGAATCATTCAACTTTTTAAATTTTCAAACAAACATCGAATTTTTCATGCGCAATTTTTTTGCATCATTTAGAAATTTAGACTTCCCCTATATTTACAACTATATGAATATTTCCATAATTTCGTAATGGCAGGATTTAAATGATGCATTTAACGTAAACGGCAAGTTTTTTTAAATTTTTTATTGCAGACATGTTTCGGCAAACTTATGCTATCTTCAGTGCGGTATAATGAAAAATCTGACAAGTTTGAAATTGTGAATGCATTGATAGAAACACATTTATAGAAATAAATTTCAAGTAAGATAAATCCAAATACATTCGAGTGATTCGACACAAAGGTTAGCGAATGTTGGAAAAATTGGCGACTTTCGTCGTCATAGATTGACGTACACCTAAATATTGCCAAGTTCACAAACCATTTACTGGTTAAAGTAAATGGTTTGAACCCGGGAGTATCGTTACATGTTTGTAGATGTAGATCGTCCAGGTTGGTATAGTCCTGAGAAGGACTGTTTTTGTTGAAAACGCACATCACAAAATCACACCTACATCACACAGCACTACTCACTACTAAAAATGCTTCGCTTTGGCTTTATGCCATGTACGCCTTTCTGTCTTTTCTGCTATTGGCATTCGACTGGATGAATGTGATTGGTTACGTGAACAGTTTTTACTGAGTCTAGAAGTTTCTGCACGGCAGTGATATATAAGGACGTCCTTTGGATTACACTAAAGTAAGTGGTAGCTGGCTTGTGACGGAGCATCTCCTCATCGAATGCAACATTTGTTGGTAAAGTTTGCGAGTTACATTAGCATATGTAAAATAAAGATATGAACAAAAACGATAAAAATTCAATTTTGAATCAAAAGAAGATGAGAATAGAAATGAAGACGAAAATCACGAAGGACTGGAGCATGAGCAACAAGACGAAAACAATTCCCGCGAAGAAAACGTTCTGCATGAGAATCTTGTTGAAGATCAAGTAGGGATGGAATCAAACGTTGACAGTTATGCTGAACTTTTTAATATCTTGCTTGAGGTTTTATATTTGGACTTTAGTGTTGAAATATATGATTTAAATCTACCATCAATTCCTGATGAACTGTAAGTTTGACTATGTATGTATAAAAATATTTTCTTTGTAGGAATGTAGAAATGTAGAAATGTAGAAATGCACAAACTATGGAGTTAAAAATTGTTAAAATAACTATTTAGATAGAATGTACTCTATTTCGTCTGTAAAATGTATAAATTTGTGTATGTACTAATTTTAATAAAGAATGTTTCACTATTTGCCAAAAACTTACATTCGCGAGATGACGACAATTCCCCAACTTGATCTCACGTGATCTAGAGTTAAGCTTATCATTGGCTGAAATTGAAATGCATTTTTCATTTTATTCGGCGTATTTTCTGGATTTTTACATCGTGCTTTATTGCATGGATTTGTTCAGTCGTCCATAGATTCAACACTTAAGGAATATGCAATGTACGTGCCGTTGCCTGGTGAGATTTGGGTGAGAGCATTAAGACTTTTTGTTCTTCCTTTGATTGTATCCATCCTGCTTTTGGCAGACGCTGAATTGGAGTCAAAACAGAGCGGAAATTTGAGAAGAAGAACATTGCTGTATTATCTTATGACTACAATGTTTGGGAAGTAATTTGTTTATTTGTATTTAACCTGGAAATGTTAACGTGAAAGAACCAGAACCGAACGAAGAAAAAGTTGAACCAATACCTTCTTTGCTTGATCTTACAAGGTTTGTGCAAAATATTGATAAATTTACTGAGTTTGCGCCCTGCTTTTGCTTTTACTGCGAAAATTTTCTTATACGTATAACTTTTATTTCTATTAATAAAGGACACATGCCAGCTAGAAGACACCTTTATTTTATTGTAATGCCTATAGCGTGAAAATATATATCGGTAAAAACACGATATTCGATGACCATTGCTAAAACGCCGTGAGATTGTTTAAGTCTGGGAACTGTGAAAGAGTGACGTATTAGTTGACATAAACAAGCATCGTTCTTATATCGTTCTACGACTGGCATGCAGTGCTTGCACGGCTTTCGGTAGTTTGCTATTACTGTTTTTTATTTATCAAAAATGAATGGATTCTTCTGAAGGAGAAGCCGATTATGATATTGTCATCAATAACAATGAGGTACAACCTTACATGTTTGAGCCTTTGGCCAACGCGCAAGGTGGTCATTACCATTCTCCGTAATCGGAAAGCGAAGATAAATACATTCACAGAATTGGAAATGTTGAATGGTTAGTTGCATTTTATTAATACTTCATTGTTTTTCCCAAAGTAAAAACAATGTTTTTATCTTTTAGGTGTGAGTGTGGCTTTTGTGTGGTCATGAGTACAGGACGGGAAAGTATATGTTGCCAAGAGGTGAACAAACTGATCCTCTGATACATGGCGATCATATTTGCATCACACAAGAGGAAGAGTTTGCCACAGTGTGTACAAACGAAGCTGTCGTAAAAACAGCTATGGTCGTGTACACACATGGCATTGGACCTATGCCTGAGAGTGAAGAAAACGAGTGAGAGTCTGATCCATTGTAGCTATTGCTCATCGTCGACGTGCTTTCTGTATCAGACCATACAGCGCTATCCTCAAAATGTTCAATTTCACATGACGTCGTCTGTGTGCTATGATTTTTTGTTGAAATTAACTCAACCTTTAGATAAAATTATCGTATTGCTGGATTTTTCTCAAAAATCAAAACGGCCGAAATGGAAAGTTTATACCTCTACTTATCATATTTGGCACTTTTGTTTGAGTGGTTCTTAACCTTACGTGTTTTTGCGGAAGGATTGTTATGTCTGCTTGGCATTTCACATTGTGCTTCTAAGGTACGTTAAGGAATTTTGTATGAGTTAAAATAACAAAGAAAAGATCAAACGACAGTAGTCTGAATTAGTTACCACTGTATATGTTTGTGTTTCGCTGTCTACATATATTTTGACATCTTTTATCTTAGACAAACTTCCTTTGAGGTAAAACGCACAAACATTTCGAGCCGATGTCGACACATCGTGGTCGTCGCCTACAAGAAAGTCGTCATGTTCTGCAAGAACGTCGTCAATAATCTAAAATTATAAAATTGTCCTCAATTTGGTAATGGTAATAGCTTAGTTTTTGATATATGTAAACAAATATCGTCTCGTCTCGCCTTCGTCTCTACTCAAATGCAGTTCTAACATTTGTTGGCTGCTTCCTTTTAGATGCTACACTTGTGGGTTCCACAGAGTATTCAAAAATCGTGGGTACAGCATCCTTCTTAAGGCGAAGCCGTCCTGCTGTCCATCCTACTGATTGCATCGCTTCAAAATTTTGCACGAAGCACGAACTCTCGAAATGTTGGGAGCACAGTTTTGAGCTCTTTGTTGGCTTCAAATTTTTGCGTCGGATTTTTTCTATCCAAATATCTCGCATGCGCTTGTTTTCGGGAAACGAAAAAAGAAACCTTTTGCTGCATTTGATGGTTCTTAGAAGAACCGTTTTTACAATTAAATGCGGCACAATAAACCATATTTTCAATGCTAAATTGTCGTGTTGTTAATGCAGGCAAAGAAGTTACCAATATATTTTGAACGAAGCGCGCAATTGACCGCGTTTAGCTAATGTCAACTATTAAGTCACAACAACCTTTTTCCAATCGGTAGCCGTCGTTAGCTCGTCGGGCATTTTCAATACGTTATTAGTAAAGCATCAACTTTAAACTTCCATATATTCAAAAATATTTATCCTTTGAGTCTCAAACTTTGGTGAAGTATTAGTTGGAGCTATACCTTCATGTAAAGTACAAAAATAACAATCCGAATTTTATGTTGCATGTGTCTTTTAAGAAAGGTAGGAAATTCATAAACCGCGTCAAGGCGTCAGAAAAGCCATAACTAGCTTGTACTACGCAATGGAAATCCCGCAATTTTTTACAAATTCACTAAGTATAATAATCATAAATCAAAACTTATAAAATAGCTTTAGCTAAATGAGGACAAAAAATTCAGCTAGAGTAAAAGCAATTTTGTACAAATTCACTAAGTTTAATAATAATAAATCAAAACTTACATCAAAGAATTCTTTCATATGGAAGAAATGTCATATGAAATAATCCTTTCATATGACATGAAAGGAATGTTTGCTTTGTCTGACTGGGTAACTATTATCAGAAGGACATCACTTGAGTCTATTGGACATATTTGAAAGAAATGTCATATGAAAGAATTCTTTCATATGACATTCCTTTCACGAGAAAACATCAGCCCAACAAAATTGACCTGCTCTCCACTGTGTGACTTCAAAGCTCAGTTGGTCAGAGCACTGCACCGGCACCGCAGAGTTCATGGGTTCGAATCCCGTTTAGCCACCTGAATTTTTCAGGTTCATGAGACAGTTGCTTAAATTGTCCAGCAAAGTGCAAAGATCATATCTTCATTTCACTTTTGGTTCTACAACAGAATACTGGCATATACAAGTTTATCTGAAGGGTTTTTTAATTAATGAATTCTAGAACGTCGTGTATTTCGGTGACGTCGACATAAAAACTTTTGCCTTGTTACTGTTGGCGAAAAAAACGGAATCGTCGGAATGAGGAAGTTGTAAATTTTATTATAGTGTGTTTCATTCAGCCTTCAGACGCGCGACTAAAGCGATTGCCTAGTGTGTTTCAGCCTTAACTGTTCAATCACGTTAGTTTGATTTCGATTTAAGTAAATAAAATAATAATGAACAAAAATTAAATTACATAAACTGTTTTCAGAATCATTCAACTTTTTAAATTTTCAAACAAACATCGAATTTTTCATGCGCAATTTTTTTGCGTCATTTAGAAATTTAGACTTCCCCTATATTTACAACTATATGAATATTTCCATAATTTTGCAATGGCACGATTGAAATGAATAAAGTAAAGTTATTTAAAATGCTAAATTTATCATAGGATGCTTGATACGTGTTAATCAGTAAAAGGAAAAGGTTTTATAAAATATTAGTGATACTTACACGGCAAATATCATAAGTGTGATGGAGAAAAATTTGAACATTACACTCAATTTTCTCTAAAACACAAAGAAGCCTTACACACACGCAAACAAAAACCAGATCTTAACAAACAAATTCAACATTTTAACATAATTTTCTAATTTCCCTAATTTCGTAATGGCACGATTGAAATGATGCATTTAACGCAAACGACAACTTTTTTTAAATTTTTTATTGCAGACATGTTTCGGCAAACTTATGCCATCTTCAATGCGGTATAATGAAAAATCTTACAAGTTTGAAATTGTGAATGCATTGATAAAAACACATTTATAGAAATAAATTTCAAGTAAGATAAATCCAAATACATTCGAGTGATTCGACACAAAGGTTAGCGAATGTTGGAAGAATTGGCGACTTTCGTCGTCATAGATTGATGTACACCTAAATATTGCCAAGTTCACAAACCATTTACTGGTTAAAGTAAATGGTTTGAACCCGGGAGTATCGTTACATGTTTGTAAATGTAGATCGTCCAGGTTGGTATTGTCCTGAGAAGGACTGTTTTTGTTGTTGTTGACTGATGTTCAACCACCGCTATGTAAGAACCAGATAACAAATACGGCTAACTTGACGTTTACTCCTCATTTGATTCTGAAGATGACTAACGCTAAGGTTGTCGAAACGTCAGTCAACAACAACAAAAACAGTCCTTCTCAGGACTATACAAACCTGGACGATCTACATCTACAAACATGTAACGATACTCCCGGGTTCAAACCATTCACTTTATAACATTTAATAGTATTAATATGAAGTCAACAACTTACTAGTTGAGGTCTCTCTCCTGATTACTAGACAATGAACAAATTATTTCGTTGAAATTCATAGATGGTTGTTGTTGACATCATAACGTAGGATGATAATTTTATATGAAATGGTTGTTGTTGACATCATAACGTAGGATGATAATTTTATATGAAATGGTTGTTGTTGACATCATAACGTAGGATGATAATTTTATATGAAATGGTTGTTATTAACAACATAACGTAGGATGATAATTTTATATGAAATGGTTCTTATTAACATCCATTAAACGTATGTAGTCGTAAGCAAGTTGTTCGCTCTGTCGTCCAAATGATCGTAATAAAGTAAATGGTTTAAACCCGGGAGTATCGTTACATGTTTGTAGATGTAGATCGTTCAGGTTGGTATAGTCCTGAGAAGGACTGTTTTTGTTGTACACGCACATCACACATCACACCTACATCACACATCACTACTAAAAATGCTTCGCTCGGGGTTTCGCTTTCCCATTTTTTGCATTTTGCCATGTCCGGCTTTCTGGTCTTTTCTGCAATTAGCATTGGTGCAAATTATGAGTTGAAGCAATTAGAATTCGACTGGATGAACGTGATTGGTAACGTGAACAGTTTTGCTGAGTCTCTGAGTTTCTGCAAGGCAGTGATGTATAAGGACGTCCTTTGGATTACACCAAAGTAAGTGGTAGCTGGCTTGTGACGGAGCACCTCCTCATCGAAAGCAACATTTGTTGGTAAAGTTTGCGAGTCACATTAGCATATAAAAAATAAAGATATGAACAAAAACGATAAAAATTCCAATTTTGAATCAAATGAGGACGAGAATAGAAATGAAGACGAAGATCACGAAGGACTGGAGCATGAGCAACAAGACGAAAACAATTCCCGCGAAGAAAACGTTCTGCAGGAGAATCTTATTGAAGATCAAGTAGGGATGGAATCAGACGTTGACAGTTATGCTGAACTTTTTAATATCTTGCTTGAGGTTTTATATTTGGACTTTAGTGTTGAAATATATGATTTAAATCTACCATGAATTCCTGATGAACTGTAAGTGTGACTATATATGTAGAAATATTTTATTTGTAGAAATGTAGAAATGTAGAAATGTAGAAATGTAGAAATGCACAAACTATGGAGTTAAAATTTGTTAAAATAACTATTTAGATAGAATGTACTCTATTTCGTCTGTAAAATGTATAAATTTGTGTATGTACTAATTTTAATAAAGAATCTTTCACTATTTGCCAAAAAATTACATTCGTGAAATAACGACAATTCCCCAACTTGATCTCATGTGATCTAGAGTTAAGCTTATCATTGGCTGAAATTGAAATGCATTTTTCATTTTATTCGGCGAACTTTCTGGATTTTTAGTTCGTGCTTTATTGCATGGATTTGTTCAGTCGTCCATAGATTCAACACCTAAGGAATATGCAATGTATGTGCCGTTGCCTGGTGAGATTTGAGTGAGAGCATTAAGACTTTTTGTTCTTCCTTTGATTGTATCCAGCTTGCTTTTGGCAGTCGCTGAATTGGAGTCATAACAGAGCGGAAAATTGTGAAGAAGAACATTGCTGTATTATCTTATGACTACAATGTTTGGGGAGTAATTTGTGTATTTGCATTTAACCTGGAAATGTTAACGTGAAAGAACAAGAACCGAACGAAGAAAAAGTTGAACCAATACCTTCTGTGCTTGATCTTACAAGGTTTGTGCAAAATATTGATAAATTTACTGAGTTTGCGCCCTGCTTTTGCTTTTACTGCGAAAATTTTCTTATACGTATAACTTTTATTTCTATTAATAAAGGACACATGACAGCTAGAAGACACCTTTATTTTATTGTAATGTCTATAGCGTGAAAATAAGACGTACCAAATTTCGAAGTCATCCGCAAGATTTTTCAAAAGATATTTAGGGTTATAATCGGTAAAAACACGATATTCGATGACCATTGCTAAAACGCCGTGAGATTGTTTAAGTCTGGGAACTGTGAAAGAGTGACGTATTAGTTGACATAAACAAGCATCGTTCTTATATCGTTCTACGACTGGCATGCAGTGCTTGCACGGCTTTCGGTAGTTTGCTATTACTGTTTTTATTTATCAAAATTAATGGATTCTTCTGAAGGAGAAGCCGATTATGATATTGTCATCAATAACAATGAGGTACAAGCTTACATGTTTGAGCCTTTGGCTAACGCGCAAGGTGGTCATTACTATTCTCCGTCATCGGAAAGCGAAGACAAATACATTCACAGAATTGGAAATGTTGAATGGTTAGTTGCATTTTATTGATGCTTCATTGTATTTCCCAAAGTAAAAACAATGTTTTTATCTTTTAGGTGTGAGTGTGGCTTTTGTGTGGTCATGAGTACAGAACGGGAAAGTGTATGTTGCCAAGAGGTAAACAATACTGATCCTCTGATACATGGCGATCATATTTGCATCACACAAGAGGAAGAGTTTACCACAGTGTGTACAAACGAAGCTGTCGTAAAAACAGCTATGGTCGTGTACACACATGGCATTGGACCTATGCCTGAGAGTGAAGAAAACGAGTGAGAGTCTGATCCATTGTAGCTATTGCTCATCGTCGACGTGCTTTCTGTATCAGACCATACAGCGCTATCCTCAAAATGTTCAATTTCACATGACGTCTCTGTTTGCTGTGATTTTTTGTTGAAATTAACTCAACCTCCGTACCTTAGCATAAAATTATCGCATTGCTGGATTTTTCACAAAAATCAAAACGGCCGAAATGGAAAGTCTATACATCTACTTATCATATTTGGCACTTTTGTTTGAGTGGTTCTTAACCTTACGTGTTTTTGCGGAAGGATTGTTATGTCTGCTTGGCATTTCACATTGCGCTTCTAAGGTACAAGGAATTTTCTATGAGTTGAAATAACAAAGAAAAGATCAAACGACATTAGTCTGAATTAGTTACCACTGTATATGTTTGTGTTTCGCTGTCTACATATATTTTGACATCTTTTATCTTAGACAAACTTCCTTTGAGGTAAAACGCACAAACATTTCGAGCCGATGTCGACACATCGTGGTCGTCGTCTACAAGAAAGTCGTCATGTTCTGCAAGAACGTCGTCAATAATCTAAAATTATAAAATTGTCCTCAATTTGGTAATGCTATATAGCTTAGTTTTTGATAAATGTAAACAAATATTGCTAACTATAACTATAATAATCACCTCTTGCCTTCGTCTCTTCTCAAATGCAGTTCTAACATTTGTTGGCTGCTTCCTTTTAGATGCTACACTTGTGGGTTCCACAGAGTATTAAAAAATCGTGGGTACAGCATCCTTCTTAAGGCGAAGCCGTCCTGCTGTCCATCCTACTGATTGCATCGCTTCAAAATTTTGCACGAAGCACGAACTCTCGAAATGTTGCGAGCACAATTTTGAGCTCTTTGTTGGCTTCAAATTTTTGCGTCGGATTTTTTCTATCCAAATATCTCGCATGCGCTTCTTTTCGGGAAACGAAAAAAAGAAACCTTTTGCTGCATTTGGTGGTTCTTAGAAGAACCGTTTTTACAATTAAGTGCGGCACAATAAACCATATTTTCAATGCTAAATTGTCGTGTTGTTAATGCAGGCAAAGAAGTTACCAATATATTTTGAACGAAGCGCGTAATTGACCGCGTTTAGCTAATGTCAACTAATAAGTCACAACGACCTTTTTCCAATCGGTAGCCGTCGTTAGCTCGTCGGGCATTTTCAATACGTTATCAGTAAAGCATCAACTTTAAACTTCCATATCTTCAAAAATATTTATCCTTTGAGTCTCAAACTTTGGTGAACTATTAGTTGGAGCTATACCTTTATGTAAAGTACAAAAATAACAATCCGAATTTTATGTTGAATGTGTCCTTTAAGAAAGGTAGGAAATTGATAAACCGCGTCAAGGCGTCAGAAAAGCCCTAACTAGCTTGTACTACGCAATGGAAATCCCGCAATTTTTTACAAATTCACTAAGTATAATAATAATAAATCAAAACTTATAAAATAGCTTTAGCTAAATGAGGACAAAAAATTAAGCTAGAGTAAACGCAATTTTGTACAAATTCACTAAGTTTAATAATAATAAATCAAAACTTACATCAAAGAATTCTTTCATATGAAAGAAATGTCATATGAAATAATTCTTTCATATGAAAGGAATGTCATATGAAATAATTCTTTCATATGAAAGAAATGTCATATGAAAGAATTCTTTCATATGATATGAAAGGAATGTTTGGTTTGTCTGACTGGGTAACTATTATCAGAAGTCCTTCACTTGAGTCTATTGGACATATTTGAAAGGAATGTCATATGAAAGAATTCTTTCAAAGAATTATTTCATATGACATTCGTTTCACGAATTCTTTCATATGACACTCCTTTCACGAGAAAACGTGAGCCCAACAAAATTGAATTCTTTCATATGACATTCATTTCACGAGAAAACATGAGCCCAACAAAATTGACCTGCTCTCCACTGTGTGACTTCAAAGCTCAGTTGGTCAGAGCACTGCACCGGTACCTCAGAGTTCATGGGTTCGAATCCCGTTGAGTCACCTGAATTTTTCAGGTTCATGAGACAATTGCTTAAATTGTCCAGCAAATTGCGAAGATCATATCTTCATCTCACTTTTGGTTCTACAACAGAATACTGGCATAGACAAGTTTATCTGAAGGGTTTTTTATTTAATGAATTCTAGAACGTCGTGTATTTCGGTGACGTCGACATAAAAACTTGTGTCTTGTTACTGTTGGCGAAAAAAACGGGATCGTCGGAATGAGGAAGTTGTAAATTTTATTATAGTGTGTTTCATTCAGCCTTCAGACGCGCGACTAAAGCGATTGCCTAGTGTGTTTCAGCCTTAACTGTTCAATCACGTTAGTTTGATTTCGATTTAAGTAAATAAAATAATAATGAACAAAAATTAAATTACATAAACTGTTTTCAGAATCATTCAACTTTTTAAATTTTCAAACAAACATCGAATTTTTCATGCGCAATTTTTTTGCATCATTTAGAAATTTAGACTTCCCCTATATTTACAACTATATGAATATTTCCATAATTTTGCAATGGCACGATTGAAATGAATAAAGTAAAGTTATTTAAAATGCTAAATTTATCATAGGATGCTTGATACGTGTTAATTAGTAAAAGGAAAAGGTTTGATAAAATATTAGTGATATTTACACGGCAAATATCATAAGTGTGATGGAGACAAAGTTGAACATTACACTCAATTTTCTCTAAAACTCAAAGAAGCCTTACACACACAAACAAACACCCGATCTTAACAAACAAATTCCACATTTTAACATAATTTTCTAATTTCCCTTATTTCGTAATGGCACGATTGAAATGATGCATTTAACGGAAACGACAACTTTTTTTAAATTTTTTATTGCAGACATGTTTCGGCAAACTTATGCCATCTTCAATGCGGTATAATGAAAAATCTGACAAGTTTGAAATTGTGAATGCATTGATAGAAACACATTTATAGAAATAAATTTCAAGTAAGATAAATCCAAATATATTCGAGTGATTCGACACAAAGGTTAGCGAATGTTGGAAGAATTGGCGACTTTCGTCGTCATAGATTGATGTACACCTAAATATTGCCAAGTTCACAAACCATTTACTGGTTAAAGTAAATGGTTTGAACCAGGAGTATCGTTACATGTTTGTAGATGTAGATCGTTCAGGTTGGTATAGTCCTGAGAAGGACTGTTTTTGTTGTACACGCACATCACACATCACACCTACATCACACATCACTACTAAAAATGTTTCGCTCGGGGTTTCGCTTTCCCAATTTTGGCATTTTGCCCGGCTTTCTGGTCTTTTCTGCAATTGACATTCGACTGGATGAACGTGATTGGTCACGTGAACAGTTTTGCTGAGTCTCTGAGTTTCTGCAAGGCAGTGATGTATAAGGACGTCCTTTGGATTACACCAAAGTAAGTGGTAGCTGGCTTGTGACGGAGCATCTCCTCATTGAAAGCAACATTTGTTGGTAAAGTTTGCGAGTCACATTAGCCTATGTAAAATAAAGATATGAACAAAAACGATAAAAATTCCAATTTTGAATCAAATGAGGACGAGAATAGAAATGAAGACGAAGATCACGAAGGACTGGAGCATGAGCAACAAGACGAAAACAATTCCCGCGAAGAAAACGTTCTGCAAGAGAATCTTGTTGAAGATCAAGTAGGGATGGAATCAGACGTTGACAGTTATGCTGAACTTTTTAATATCTTGCTTGAGGTTTTATATTTGGACTTTAGTGTTGAAATATATGATTTAAATCTACCATCAATTCCTGATGAACTGTAAGTTTGACTATATATGTAGAAATATTTTATTTGTAGAAATGTAGAAATGTAGAAATGTAGAAATGCACAAACTATGGAGTTAAAATTTGTTAAAATAACTTTTAGATAGAATGTACTCTATTACGTCTGTAAAATGTAAAATTTGTAAAAATTCGAAAATATGAAGATAAAAATACATCATATTACCATGCTAAAAACGAAACTAATTAAAATAGTGCTATTTTGATACCACGCTTAAATTGGCTTGAGGTGGGCACATCATTACGTCTGTAAAATGTAAAGGTTTGTGTATGTGCTAATTTTAATAAAGAATCTTTTTCACTATTTGCCGAAAACTTACATTCGCAGGATAACGACAATTCCCCAACTTGATCTCACGTGATCTAGAGTTAAGCTTATCATTGGCTGAAATTGAAGTGCATTTTTCATTTTATTCGGCGCACTTTGTGGATTTTTAGTTCGTGCGTTATTGCATGGATTTGTTCAGTCGTCCATAGATTCAACACCTAAGGAATATGCAATGTACGTGCCGTTGCCTGGTGAGATTTGGGTGAGAGCATTAAGACTTTTTGTTCTTGCTTTGATTGTATCCAGCCTGCTTTTGGCAGTCGCTGAATTGGAGTCAAAACAGAGCGGAAATTTGGGAAGAAGAACATTGCTGTATTATGTTATGACTACAATGTTTGGGGAGTAATTTGTTTATTTGTATTTAACCTGGAAATGTTAACGTGAAAGAACCAGAACCGAACGAAGAAAAAGTTGAACCAATACCTTCTGTGCTTGATCTTACAAGGTTTGTGCAAAATATTGATAAATTTACTGAGTTTGCGCCCTGCTTTTGCTTTTACTGCAAAAATTTTCTTATACGTATAACTTTTATTTCTATTAATAAAGGACACATGCCAGCTAGAAGACACCTTTATTTTATTGTAATGTCTATAGCGTGAAAATAAGACGTAAATTTCGAAGTCGTCCGCAAGATTTTTCAAAAGATATTTAGGGTTATAATCGGTAAAACACGATATTCGATGACCATTGCTAAAACGCCGTGAGATTGTTTAAGTCTGGGAACTGTGAAAGAGTGACGTATTAGTTGACATAAACAAGCATCGTTCTTATATCGTTCTACGACTGGCATGCAGTGCTTGCACGGCTTTCGGTAGTTTGCTATTACTGTTTTTATTTATCAAAATTAATGGATTCTTCTGAAGGAGAAGCCGATTATGATATTGTCATCAATAACAATGAGGTACAACCTTACATGTTTGAGCCTTTGGCTAACGCGCAAGGTGGTCATTACTATTCTCCGTCATCGGAAAGCGAAGATAAATACATTCACAGAATTGGAAATGTTGAATGGTTAGTTGCATTTTATTGATGCTTCATTGTATTTCCCAAAGTAAAAACAATGTTTTTATCTTTTAGGTGTGAGTGTGGCTTTTGTGTGGTCATGAGTACAGAACGGGAAAGTGTATGTTGCCAAGAGGTAAACAATACTGATCCTCTGATACATGGCGATCATATTTGCATCACACAAGAGGAAGGTTTGCCACAGTGTGTACAAACGAAGCTGTCGTAAAAACAGCTATGGTCGTGTACACACATGACATTGGACCTATGCCTGAGAGTGAAGAAAACGAGTGAGAGTCTGATCCATTGTAGCTATTGCTCATCGTCGACGTGCT